AATATTATTATTAGTGGGAGAATAATAATAATATTATTATTATTGTTATTATTATTATTATTATTATTATTATTATTATTATTATAGGATTTAAATAATAAAATAAGAAATAAGGGATTAAAGGAAATAGAGAAGTTTTTTTTTGGGGAAAGAGAATTAGAACACGATAAACTGTCAGAGAAAGGTTTTGGGAGAAAAAGTGAGAAAAAGAACAACGAAGAAGAGAAGGAGGCTAGGGCTGTCAATCCTTCAAGATTCTTCAACGATTGAGCAATTAATCGAGGTAAGGGGGGAGAATGAATTTCAATATGGGTGAATTAACATGAGAGGGTAGTGAGAGATCCTTTCTCTCATAGGAATTATGTGTTCTTGAGGATCCTTGAATCCAATTTTCGTAAGTTGATTTGTTCTCAAATTTTCTGCTATTGTTGAATACTGTTTGTATGATATTTTGTGTATCCGAAACCAGAATTAATACGGAATTCGTGTGAGAAATCCTCGATGCTGTCATAGAATACTAGTGAGTAGTAGATCTGGAAATCTGAACTTTTAGGGATTTGGGCAAATATGTAGAAATGAATGTGTTATATCATTATTAGTACGATGCTCTAAGGTTTCCCTAAGGTTTAGGGATTTGGGTTAATTGTGGGAAATAGGGAGGTAACCGTAAGAATTTGAGGTTATGGCCAAATGGCCAAATGATATGTATCGTTGAATATTAATATGTGCTTGTAGGGAAAAACTTATGGGAAATTGAACCTTCGTGACCAGAACCTTGACATTGTTATATGTCTGACCCTGAAGGGGTTAAATATTAGATAGTGAGTAATTTTAATGTCGTAGGATGTAATTGAAGGAAAAATTGTAATATGTTGTCCCTATAGGAATATGAATATTCAAATGTGGGTAACTCTGAAGTACTCAGAGCAATTGCAGGAAATAGTGTTTTATGTGTTGCAAATGTTGTCAGATGAGCATAATAAACCATAAAAGTTGTGTCGTTATTGCCGTATAACCTTAGGAATATTTTAGTGATGTTTTGGGTGCTTTGAGTAAGTGATTCGCAAGAATAATTGGGTGAATATCAGTTCCGGAGCGTAACAGCTTCTTTCTGTCTGTCACGGACGTTCATGTTTTCGGTCGAAATTGTTTTGGACGTAACTTTGGATCCGTAAGTCCGTTTTGATCCCCGTTCGAAGCGTTGGAAAGCTAATGAACAGAGCTATAACATAGGATAGATAATGGATTTATTTTCCCAATATTTTTATATCTAATTATGGTGATTCCCGAGAGGATTACGGTGAGCGGATGGCTCACGTGGATCAAGATTGATCGTGAATTATGTATGATGTATTATATTGCATAGTCGTGTTGACATACATTTCATATATTGTGTCTTGTGGAGATGGCTAGGTGGGAATCCATGATGGGTGCCTAGTTTCATCCAGACTTCAATGTGGAAGTCGTTGTGGAGATAAGTTGTAGTTCAGAGGAACGTATATACGACTTATCCTGATTCCGACGGGAATCGGGTTCTAGTGTGAACCGTATGAGATTGTGTTGATACCACATGCATTGTGTCGAGTCAATGAGTCGCATTGCATTATTGTAATTGAATGTGGGCTATTAGTGTTGAATGATTGAGGTGGCACGTGTATGTGCGTTAATTATGTATGATTGTATGTGTGGTGTGTAACTACTCCTTAGCATGTGTATTTCACCGTTTATTTATTGAATGTAGTTCTCACCCCTTTTTGTTGTTGTGTCTGTGCTCTCTTAGGAGTACAAGTGACCAGGTACCTGAGTAGTGCTTGGAGTGTGTTGCTATTTAATCGAGTCTTAGCAGTCGCTCTGATACATAACATGGGATGACGGGATTACGTTGTTATTTGATTACTTTATTTGTTTATTGTTACGTATCTTCATTTATTGGACTTATGTTGTATGACCTCGTGTCGAGGAGAATTATATTGGAGAATTGATTTGTATTCCGCTGCTTACTTGAAAACTAAATAATATTGATTATTTTAATAAAATGAAGTGACTTAGTGTGATATCCCACTGTGTTGGAGAACTCTGATGAATTTCATGAATTGTTTCTATATATTTATTATATTACGCGTATGGGGTAAAGTGAGGTGTTACAATTGGTATCAGAGCAGGTCGGTCCGTCTGACCAGTGTTGTAGTAGAGTCTGACTATAGAATGTTTATAGTCATGTGTGTGTTTCTAACCTGTGTTTCTGTGGTTGTTGAGAAGTATGGCTGGTAGGAATGATGCTGCGATGGCTGCTGCGTTACAAGTTGTTGCCCAGGCAGTGGCGGACATTGGTCAGAACGTCAACCGAAATTCTGACGACGGAGAGTTCTGTAATTTGGGAAAGTTTCATAGTAATAAGCCGTCTAAGTTCGAGGGAGGACATGATCCAGATGTAGCACAAAAATGGCTGAAGGATATTGAGAAAATCTTCAGAGTCATGGGCTGCTCAGAGGATCAGAAGGTACGGTTTGGTACTCATATGCTGGAAGGTGAAGCTGAGGACTGGTGGGACAACACCCGTCAAAGGTTGGAAGCTGGTGAAGGTCTCATTAGTTGGACAGTGTTCAGGGCGGAGTTTCTGGATTTTGGTGAAGGTCCCATTAGTTGGGGAAAAGGATTTTTAGGCTTAATACCTCTTTTAATTCCTTAACTCTAGTGTTTGTTTCGCTTTAGTCCCTTAAGAAAAAAATGTTACATTATGGTCCACTAACTTATACTCCGTTACGTATAGTAGTCCTTTCTGTTAGTTTGGGTTGGGAAGTCGTTAGAAATTACATTGCTGGACTTTAAATAACTTAGTTGGATATTCTATAATTATTTTAATGGATGAGGTGGATTTTGTATTACACATAACATTCATTTTAGGTAGATGAAACGTGTTAGGGAATGATAAAAATCTTGGATGAAAGGTTGTTTAGGTATTTTGTTCAAACAACAGCTACATTATGAAGAAGACGAGTGACTATTGAAGAACACCATATCTCTGTATGCATTTCATTGAAGACGGTGTTTATGGAAACACTTGTTTGAAGAAGAAGTTCAGATAGCAAAGGCACAACAACAACGCTTCTTTGAAGACAGAGTTCATTACAGAAGAACGAAGAAGAAGAACTTCATTATTTCACTCGTATGGACAGAAAACCCTAAGGTACGAAATTGCACAAATATGATTAAAAAAATGTTAAATCTCTTTTATACCTAACTTGCTTAGTAATTCTGATACTATATGTAGGTTTATTAGGTCACAGAGATTAGGTTTAAGTGTGTTGTTCATCATTCTGGTGAATTTTCTAGGGAGTTTGCAAAGTTTATCAAGTCTGATTATGTAGGGTTAGAGGAGATATGGGATGTCGATCCTGATTATTGGAGTTACTTTGAAATATTGGACGAGTTAATAGAGTTAGGTTACCCTACTATGAATATGCTTTGGTATTATGATGATATGATTACTAATGATATAGTTCAGTTAGAAAATGATAAGGGGATAGATAGGATGAGAAACATTATAGTGTTAACTGGGGAATGCCACATGTATGTTACACATCCTGTATCTGAACCTGATGTTATTGAGGAGCTCATACTCTCACTGCCACCTGTGAGCATATTGGATGAAGATATGTGTGGTGAAGGGCCTGATATGGTTAATAATGAGGATGGGATCATAGTGGCTGAGGATGTGTTTGGTGAAGTATATGAAGGGGAGAGTAATGAATGTGGGACCACACTGGGAGAGGACGTGGTGGAAGAGGGACAAGAGTTGATGAAGTTGAGGAGAATGTTGGGATTGAAGTTAATTTTGGAATTGAAGAAAACGTGGGGGATGTGGGGACCAACTTTGAAACTGAGATGAATGTTGGTTAAGAGGAGATAAACTGTAACAATATGGATGGCATGGGGACCACCTGTGAAATGAAGGAGAATGTGGATGTAGTAATGAATGTTGGAGGGGATGAAAGTGATGACAGTGCTTTGAATGTAAATTTTAAATACTTGGAGAATGACATAGGTATTGATGGAAAGAAAGAAATTGATGAGAAAGGTAAGGGGAAAGGGAAAGGTAAGGGGAAAGATAATGGGAAGGGGGGGGGGGGGGGGGGGTAAGGGGAAAGGTAAGGGGAAAGGGAAAGGGAAAGGGAAGGGGAAAGGGAAGGGGAAGGGGAAAGGAAATGAAAAAGGTCATTGTTAGGGATGTAGATGAAGATAATGATGGTGAGATAAATCTGGACAATTTGAGAGGTTTAGGTGACATAGAGGAGTATGACAGTGATAAAATGCTTACTAAGTATGATAGTGAGAATGATGAGGTTGTAAAGGATGATTTTGTAACCTTTAAGCGTCCAAAAAGAATGGAAGACTACAAATGGGAACTTGATACTTTTTTCCTACAAAGGGAGTGTTTCAAGAGGCAATAAGAACATATGCCATTCATTTAAGAAGGAACTTGAAATTTACAAAAAATGATAAGACAAGAATGACAGTTAAATGTAAGGCAGGTTACCCATGGGAGGCACACTGTGCAAATATTAAAGGTCGGGAGACTTGGAAATTGAGGATAATTATGGACAAGCATACTTGTAGTAGGGATTATAAGATTAGGTTCCTCAATTTAAAATGGTTGGGAAAGAAGATTCAAACAAGTGTTAGAGAGAATCCGACTTTGAAGTTGATTGATATTATGGAGAAGACACATGAAAAATGGAATGTTGGGATTAACAAGACATTGGCATATAAAGCTAAAACACTAGTTGTTGATATTATGGATGGTTCTTTTAGAGAGTAGTATAGAAGAATTCATGATAATGGCCATGAACTATTGAGGGCAAACCCATGATCAACTGTGAAGATTACAAATCAGCCACCAATTCAAGGGGAAAGCAGTGAAAACTCTACTCAATTGAATCCTCACTTCCAAAGGATGTATGTTTGTCTCAAAGCTTGCAAGGACAGTTTTTTTCAAATGCATGCCTATTATAGGATTAGATGGTTGTTTCTTAAAGGGATACTATGGAGGACAAATACTAGCTGTTATTGGTAGGGGCCCAAATGACCAAATGCTTCCAATTGTATATGTTGTTGTTGAGGGTGAAACTAAAGATTCATGGAACTGGTTTCTAGAGTTATTTGTACCTAATTTGGGAGGAGTCAAGTTGTGCAGAACATATACCTTTAGTAGTGATCAACAAAAGGTTAGGTTTTAAACTCTCACCTTGAAATGTAACTGTTAGAAAATTGTTTTATTTTCACCATCATTCTTACTTATTTATAGACGCAGGGTTTGCTATCAGCTCTTGATGAATTACTCGGCAATGTTGACCAGAGATTTTGTGTTAGGTAATCTTTAATCTTACTTTATATTGCAGACATTTGTATAGTAACATACTTGGTAATGTTTACACTTACTTTATATTGCAGACATTTGTATAGTAACTTCAAGAAAATTTCCCTGGCCTGAAACTAAAGGAGTTGATATGGAGGGCTGCATGTGCAAGTTATGTTAATTCTTGGGAGAAAATAATGCTTCAAATCAAAGGAGTTAATGAAGAGGCGTTCAAACACCTCATCAAAATTACACTAATATTCTAGAGCAAATCAAGGTTCCAGCCAAGTTCAGGTTGTAACACTTTGGTTAACAATATGCCAGAGGCCTTCAATTCTGTATTTGTGGCTGCTAGATCCAAGCCCATTGTGATAATGCTGGAAGAAATTAGAGTATACATAATGCAGATATGGGAACCCAATAGGAAAAAGATCACCAAATATGATGGCATCATACTACCTAACATCAATAAGAGGATGGAAAGGGAGTCACAAAAAACCAATTATTGGATAGTGAGGTAACATTACTTTCAAATGGATGACTGTTTACATTGACTATCATTGTTAATGGTTACCTTTTTACATATGTGCAGGTTAATATGACTATGAGTGAGGCATACTTCACACAATGGAGAAAAATATATTGTCAACCTTTACAAGAAAGAATGCTCATGTAGATTATGGATGTTGACTGGACTTCCTTGTTGTCATGCAATGTCTTACGTGAAAGATCAACATTTGGAGATTGATGACTTTGTACCCGACTGTTACAAGAAGGAACAATATGTTGCTTGCTATGCACATGTGATATATCCACTTAATGGGGAAGCCTTGTGGGCAAAGACTAGTGATGTTGATCTTCAGCCACCATCAATAAAGAGGCAGCCTGGAAGGCCAAAGAAAAAAAGGAATAGGGAAGCTGGAGAGATGGTGAGAGATGAGACACACATGAAAAGGGCAAAGTATAAAGTATAGTCGTTACCACAAGGATGGTCACAACAAGGCCACTTGTAAACTACCACAACCACAATCTAGTTCAAGTAAGGTACAATATGCAATAAGTCAGCAACCATCACAACCATCACAATCTATAACAAGTCAATCACCACCTGCTGCAACAAGTCAACAACCATCACAATATGTTACAAGTCAACCACCACCACCTGCTGCAGCAAGTCAGCCACCACCATAATCTGTTACAAGTCAACCACCACCACCAGCAAGTCAACCACCACCACCTGTTGTTACAAGTCACCCACCACCCAAAACTAAGAAAAAACTTCATAAGGGTGGCAAGCCTATTTAAAGCCAACCATGATCAATATTATTATGTTTACTAGGATTTTGTAATGTCAATTAATAGCCTGACTCTTTTGTTTTTGTTAATGGCCTTATAATGACCTTTTGGTTTTGAACATGTTATGTAATGCCTTATAAAGGCCTTTAGGTATATGAACATGTTATGCATTTCCTTTTAATGGCCTTTTGGTTTTGAACATGTTATGTAATGGCCTTTTTGGTTTTGAACCTGTTATGTAATGGCCTTACAATGGTCTTTTGGTATTTGAACATGTTATCTATTGCCTTATAATTGCCTTGTTTTATTGAACCTGTTATTGAATGTTGGAATGGTTATTGAATGTTCAAATAATAAATCTGTTATTGAATGTTGGAATGGTTATTGAACCAGTTATATATCAAACTTTGAAACATGTTTTTTGAACATGTTATGTATCAAACATGTTATTGAATTTGTTATGTATCAAAATATTTTATTGAACCTGTTAAGAAACATTATTCAATGGGTTGCATATTTTACAGGTTGAATACTAAGACATTATTCAATGCAATTGTGAAAACAGAACACATATATTATTCATTGAAACAACATAACAGAACATCATTCATTAAACAAACTCATCAATTTGTTACAACATAACAATACATTATTACAAACACAAAAATATAACTTAGAACTACCATAAAACTAATTGAGATACATTGTTACAAACACAAGGTTCAACCATAAGCTTACAATCCCAACAACAATGGACATTTTGAGCCACCCTCGAGTGTACATAACTTCATTTTTTAATCTGTTAATTTTCTTCTTTTATCTTTCAATCTTCAAATCCCTTTCATCAAGAAACTCATCACCCAACCACATGAAGAAATTACAACCCTTTTTAATGTGGTTTCTGTAATTTCTACAACCCTATAATTTTCTCCCCTTGTTGACACTATTCACATCATTCATTGTTCTAAGAACACTTTCATCTTGACAAAAGCACTTGATCCTCTTATTTCTACGAAACAAAGATCCAGATGTGCCATAGCTATGGTTGTTTGAACTTGACGTATTGATTTCGCTCTTTGCCATTGCTTAACCCTAATTCCCAAATTGCAGAAGAAACTAGAAGCTGGAGAAGGAAATTGGAAGAAAGAGATTTAACCCTGATTTGAAGATGAAGATGAAATAGATTGAAATATGGAATACAATTGAAGAAGAATGATGGAAGAAGAATGAAGCAGCAAGAGTTAAATTGCAGAGGAAACAAGAAGATAACAAGAGTGAAATATGGAATATGATGAAGACAGCGTATACATATGCTGATGTGGAATCTTACTTGGCATGCCACCTCACCTAAACTAACGTTTTTTGTCACAAACTAACAGAAGGAATCAAAGTGTTTAACGGAACTTAAATTAAAAGACCATTACGTAACGTTTTTTAATTCTAGGACTAAAGAAAAACTTCGCTCAAAGTTAACGGGAATGACTAATTATGCCGGATTTTTAAAAAGAAAACAAAAACTAAGTAGTAATAATAGGTGATCAAAATTATTAAAAAAAATAAATATAATTTGACAAAAACGCAATGAAAATTTTTTAAAAGAAATGAAATGAAAATCCAAATGCCAAAGATAACAAATCAAAAGAGAAATTACCAAGAAAAAGTTGCAAATGAAAAAGATTATTTTGTAGATAAAAAGCTTAAAACAATTTATGTTCTTATATTTACTAGACCAATTTGAAATAAAGCAAAAAACAAACAAAATTATAATCCAACGTTACAACCCAATTAAAAGACTTTAGTTGTCTATATAAGAGCAACTTTAACGCAGGGTTGTTAAACCAAAATTCTTTATAGCTTACGTTAGTAATAAGAAATTTGCATTATAGGAGAGCTGACATGGCATCCAAATGAATTAAAATTTAGTTCTCATTATCTATATAGTTAACGTTAACTATTCTTGTGAAACCTATTATAATATTATTTAATATTAATAAAATATTCCAAATATTCCAACAACACAAGGGTATGATATTTGAAAATAGTAACGGGCATTTATCATTTTTTACCTTTTATAAATTCTATAGAAATTTTAATTTTTTTTACACACAGTTTTACTTCTAAATTTTTTTCTTTCAATTTCCAATCTTATTTATTTATCAAATGGAACCCAACCAATCGAATCCTTATTATAATTATATTTCTATGAAAATGTAATTTTTTTTATGTATTATTGTTGTGAATTTTGTATCATTTTTAATTTTATAATAAAATATATTTAATATTATTTTTAAGTTTTTAAGGTAAATTTTATTTAAAAAATTATATGTATTTTAATTAAAATAATTAAATTAATGGTAACTTAAATAAAAAATATAAAATGTGGGGTTAAGTTTTGGTTTTTTATAGACAACCACCATTAAAGTAAAAACTATTCAAATCAACTATAAATTTTTTAAATCCTACAAATCACTTTGGACCCACAAAAAATATCTTAGTTTACCCATTTAGTTTACTCCCACTAAAGATGCTCTAAGTGATAACGTATTTTATAGTATTGTTTAAATGAAGTGCAAAATTAATTTATAATTTATGCAATGGTATACAAAACTATCAGACAAATATTTATAATTGATTAGTATAAAAGAATTGAGATAAAATTTTGTCGTCAACAAATATTAAAATAAAGGGACACATATTTATTGTTTTGATAAAATAACATGAGACAAATTTTGTCGTTAGTTTATAAAATAAACACCGAAACATCCTTGGAAAAAAAATCAATTAAAAAATTTATAAATGTCAATCCAAATAATTATAATTATTTCATTGCATTACGCGTAAATACTTTTAACTTTTTATCGGAAAAAAATCTTCCATTATTTTTATTATTTAATATAAACTTTATTAATGAAATACAATGCTATATTCTTTAATTAATTAAATATTTTATTCTTTTCAATATTTTTAACATTTAATATAACAATATTCATGATAAACTCGTGCTAAGTGACGGGTGCTTACCTAATCGTTTTATAAGACGACATATAATGGTCCAAATCCAACTTATTTGATCTAGTTTGAATAATCAACAAAAAGCTGGTGGAATTGACACCATTCATTTTCATGAATAATGAAATAGTTTTTTTTTTTTTATTGAATTTAATTAAAATATGCTAACAATATAAAATGATTTTAAACAATTATTAATATAAAATGATTTTAAACAATTATTAATTATAGATGTTTAATATTAAAAAATTTAAGATTTAAGTGCAATTTTGATTCTTTTATTTTTATTTTTTATAGTTTTAATTTTTCTATTTTAAAATTCAGAATTTCGGTCTCTTTAATTTTAAATTTTTTATTTTTGATCTTTTTACTTTAAAATCTGAAATTTTGATCCTTCTATTTTTATTTTTTTTAAACTTTTGATCCTCCTATTTTTATTTTGTTTTGAATTTTAATCTTCTTTTCAATAAAAAAGTAGGGATTAAAAATATAAAAAAAATAAAAATAAGAGGACCAAAATTTTGAAGTTTATAAAAAAAAAATGAAAATAGAGGCAAAAATTCCAAATTTTAAAATAAATGAATCAAAAGTAAAAAAACAAATTAAAATAAAAGAACAAAAATTATAATAAAACTAAATTTTTATTTTTATTTTAATAATTTATAAAATAATACAAACATATAATAATAATGATGACAAATTTTTTATCTCACTCAAAGTAGATATTAATTAATCTCTTTTTTTATTTGCCGAGCTAATAATAATAATAAATTTATAGTGCAAATTTGTTACAGCACTCAAAGTGGATAATAATTAATATCATTTTTATT